TTCTTGTGACGATCTCACAGCCAGTCTGTCTCCTCCCTCTGGCCCCTTCCAAGGTCTAATTACCAAATATGAAGGTATGCATATAGGGGGCCTTCGGTATACAGACACCTGTCGCGCGACCACCGACCGGTCGACCATGTCGCTGTCACGTGACCCTTGTCGCTCTCCGCTAATTGATTGCTCTCGGTAGGACACCTTGAAAAAAAAAAAAAATCCAAGATTCAAATTGACAAGGACTACATCAAACAACAACCGATCACAACCTTTCATGATCTGTATGCAACGTTTACATCAAGCATACAACCACCAGTAGATCCAACTAAGCAATTCGTGAGGCCTGTGAAATGCCTATGATGATATAGTTTCATGGCTCTTATGAACAATCCCCAACATCGACCTCACAGCAGACAACCAATCCATCAGTTCGATACTTCAAGAAATCGTCACGCCAATGTTGTCAAGTTGTTACTTTTATGCTATCGTCGACCCAAAGCAAGAAACAGCGAAGCAGTTCATGGTCTTCTAAGTATTGTAATTATGCATTTGTGTTGGTCTTGCTGCGGAGTTTGGTAAGTTAACAGTTGCGAAACTTATATATCATCTATACCTACCACCGAGAGTTCCAAGTGGTCATATTCGCTTCTCAAACGTGCCTTTGGAGGATGCAAAATCGTTGTTGGATGTTTGAAGTGTGAGTGCTACTGAGAGAAATAATTAGCCTCTTGTTGGGGGTGATATGATTTCAATGGGTTTGCGGATGTTGTGAGTTTGTGAAGGGTGTAAAAGAGTTGAACATTCATATTTTGGATTTGAGTTGGTTTTGGGATTGTATGGCCTGTGAAGGTTTGTTCTTGGATTGGTTTTTTGCTGACAGAAATGCATATTTTATGCTTTCATCTATTAAATGTATTCTTGACGAAATGAAGTGATGTTTTAATAATGGTTGTTGGTATTGCTTTCTTTTAAAGGACTTTAAAAAAACGAACTTCACATTTTTTATTCTAAAACTATGCGTGCTCAGTTTACGTGATTCACGCGCCAACACAGTGACTCTTTTGGTTCTCCTTTCTTCATTTGTTGTTAGGATTCTGCATTTTCACTTCGATTCATTCTCTAGTTGATCTCATTTACGTATTTATGTTTGGTTTGGTTTGGTGTGCCTTTGTATCTATTTTTTTCACGCTTTATTTGTTCTTTTCTACTTTCCTTTTGTTTTTCTGTTTTATTCCCTACCTCTTTTAAATTCCAAAGACTGGATATTAAATAACAGAAGCTAATAAACACCATCGAAATATAACATATTCAATCTTAAACTTCTCCAACACGATTATTGTTCAACTAAAAGAAGGGCGTGTATTTCTTTCATAATGTAAGGTAAACCATTAAAAACTATAAAACTGCGGGGATGCGGAGTTGCGGGAAATAGGGCTGCGGGGTGCGGAACACGGCCACCCTTCTTCTTTCCTTATTCCTATAACCCCCACCTGTGATGATGATGTACATCTACACAACGTCGCCCCGGGAACAATGTAGGCACCGTGACGCAGCGGAAGCGTGTTGGGCTCATAGTAATCGTACGATTAACCCAAAAGTCGAAGGATCGAAACCTTCCGGTGCTACTTTCACTTTTTGAACGAATGACAATGGTAACTTTCGATCCGCACTTCTTTTTTGGCTTCGCTTCCATCTTATTTAATATATCTGCATCTGTGGTTCTTGTCTTTTCCAAGAAACCTTTCGTTCGGTCCTC